GTCTGGCTCGTGGGCAACACTATGAACCATGGGGAAGGGGGTGGGAGGGGGATTTGGGAGGTGGGTGGGGAAGGGGAGTCCTTCATCGATCAGGGTTGCGTACTACTGGGAAACCCACCTCTGGGGGCAGCCTCCCACGGGGCCAGGAGTTCGGTGTAAGGTGTGTGTGCGCACGGTGGTGCAGAAGGAAAGGAGGGGAGAGCCCTGAGGCTGGCAGTCCGTGCTGCCTTACAGGCACTCTGATTTGTCAGGATCAGCATGTGCAACCCTAGGGACACTGGAGGCCAGGCTAACACTTTCCAAAGCGACCACGGACTTGTTGGGGATTTTTGGCTGCCTCAGTGTTGGGAGTTCATGAGCTGCTTTGGACCAGACGCTTCAGAGATGCTGATCATTCACCCTGCTCTCTGCTTCCAGCTCCACAGGGTCTCATCTCAGGTTTCCTTATGTCTCGAGCTTGCTGTGCCTCAACCAAGTGTCCTTGTCCAGTATTTCCTTCTTGTCCTCCAGGCAGTAAGGGTGAGGACACGTTGGCTTCCTTTGGGAACAAACAAAGCTCAAGTGTTGGCATTTGAAAGCAAATTAACAGCAGACACCTTTCAGCCTTGCTAAACAGCTAGAGTGCTGCAAAGGACAGGCTGGAGGCAGCCCAGCTCTCTCTGCCCTAGCCCTGTGCCAGCATTCGGGGGAGCAGGGAAAGGGATAGAGTTGTCTCCCGGCCAACAGCGCATTCACACTATTGCTGCCGCAGTCAGACACAGGTTGCCAAGGCATGTGGTCAATATGGAGTGAAGGGAAGTTTAAAAATTTTTAAAAAACAGTGGTTTCAAATGAGGAGACTGGAACAGGAAACAGAAATAGGGGAAGGTCATATAGCACAGGCAGAAATGAGGGACAGGAATAGAAACAAAAGGCCCTGGCTTTTGTGCCAGAAACAAGGGAGCAGGTCCATCACTCACTCATGCTAATGACTGCCACAATTAACCTTTGGAGCTCCCTCTTTCAAAGCCCCCTTGTTAATAACTAGGTAAGCAGCTTTTAATAAAAACACTGATGCTGGCACAGCCCTTCCCCTGGCTGTAGGGAGCACGGTGGGTAAACTACTGCTCAGAGTCAAATGGTCCAGGACAGGTCTGAAGGGTGGGCTTGGCAGCCCTGTGACAGCAGCTGCCAGGGTGGGCGAGTCCTCTACGCCAGGTTAGTGACTACAGGTAGCTTTGAGCCACAAGCTTAGCTGCCTGCTGCCCAGGCTGCAGGGGGAAATCCGCATCTCCTGGGGATGAGGTGCAGGAACAGGTTCCTGACAGTGCTCATCCTCTTCCTGGCAGCAGCTTCCCCGTGCCAGTTGTCACTGCTCCTGTTCCGTCTGGGACCTGGAGCCAGACTGTCAGGTTTCACTTCAGAAATGAGTAAAAACCCTCTCCTCAAAGCATCACCTCTCCTGCTAAAGGAACAAGGAGGTTGTGCCTTCAGTGGGTGGAAATGGAGCTGGACCACCACAGCCTGTGGCAGCATGGCATAGAATCATAGAATAGTTTGGGTTGGACGGGACCTTAAAGGTCATCTCTTTCCAACCCCCCTGCCATGAGCAGGGACCCCTTCCACCAGCCCAGGCTGCTCACAGCCCCGACCCTGGCCGTGAGCCCTAGCAGAGAGGAGCCAGCCACAGTTTCTCTGGGCAGTCTGGGCCAGGGCCTTACCACCCTCATGGGGAAGAATTTCTTCCTTGTAGCTAATCTAAATCTACCCTCTTTCTGTTTAAAAGCATTATCCCTCGTCCTGTCGCTACGCTCCCTGACAGTCCCTCCCTGTCTTTCCTGCAGGCCCCCGTGGCGGTAGTCATCAGTTAAAAGGCAGGCTTGGCCAAGGTTTGGGGGCGGGTTAATGTTTATTCACCATGAGGTAGGAAACGCTATTTCTTCCACCTCAGGTGTGTCTGCTGGCCCCAGCCTCTCTCAGTCTTTACTGAAGAAGAGGTTAAACCTGCAGCGTCATTACCGCCTGCGCTGCGCAGCTCGGCGTGGCAGCACCAGCGTACCAAGCTCCGCTGCCAGCCCAGGGCC